CGAGGGGGTGTGCTTGGGCGCCCCCGGGGGGGACACGGGGACAGCCATGGGGACACGGGGACAGCCATGGGGACACAGGGACAGCCATGGGGACACAGGGACAGCCATGGGGACAGCCATGGGGACACGGGGACAGCCATGGGGACACGGGGACAGCCATGGGGACATTGAGGGGACAGGGAAACCCATGAGCCCCCCTCCCTTCCCCCACCATCCCCAGGGACACTGGGGACATTAACAGGGACACAGGGACATCAGTGGGGACATCAGTGGGGACATCAGTGGGGACACCATCACCCCCCATCCCCACCCCCCAGAACCCTCCTGCCAAGGGACATTGGGGTGTCCCCACTGTGACCCCCCCAGGGTGGTGGCAGGTCCTGGTGTCCCCGCGGTGTCCCCGCGGTGTCCCCGCGGTGTCCCCACGGTGTCCCCCCGGTGTCCCCATGTCCTCACCTCGCTGCGCCGTGAGGGCTGGCTGTAAATCACCTTCTTCCCGCCGGCACTGCGGGAAAATCGGGATTGGGACGTGCCACCCCCTCTGTGTCCCTTCTGTCCCCACCACGGGACACCCCAAGGGACCAGGGGACACCCGGGTGGCACCAAGGGGACACCAGGGGGGTGGGACCACCCAGGGAGGGGAGGTGGCTCCGGTGTCACTCACTCTGCTTTTTCTGGAAAAAAGGAAAAAAAAATAAAAATCAGGGATCAGGGGAGGGGACACGGGGGGAGGGGACACGGGGGGGACATGATCGGGACACGGGGACATTCATGGGGACACATCCAGGGACACGGGGCCGTTCCCAGACCATCCCAGTCCATCCCAGTCCATTCCCAGTCCATCCCAGTCCATTCCCAGTCCATTCCCAGTCCATTCCCATTCCATTCCCGGTCCATTCCCGGTCCATTCCCGGTCCATTCCCGGTCCATCCCAGTCCATCCCAGTCCATTCCCAGTCCCTCCCAGTCCATTCCCGGTCCATCTCCGTCCATCCCAGTCCATTCCCAGTCCCTCCCAGTCCATCCCAGTCCATCCCAGGCCATCTCAGTCCATCCCAGTCCATTCCCAGTCCATCCCAGTCCCTCCCAGTCCATCCCAGTCCCTCCCAGTCCATCCCAGTCCATCCCAGTCCCTCCCAGTCCATCCCAGTCCATTCCCGGTCACTCACTGCCGAAGTAGCCGCGCCTGTGGGCGAACCAGATCCCGAAGCCGGCGAGCGCCAGGACCAGGAGCAGCAGCACCACGGCGGCCACGATCCCGCCCACGTTCACCTCGCCTGCGGGAAAACGGGATCGGGAGGGATCCCAGGGGATCGGGAGGGATCCCACGGGACTGGGAGGGATCCCACAGGCTCGGGAAGGATCCCAGGGGATTGAGAGGAATCCCACAGGATCAGGAGGGATCCCATGGGATCGGGAGGTACCCCACGGGATCGAGAGAGATCCCACAGGATTGGGAGGAATCCCAAGGGATCAGGAGGGATCCCACAGGATCGGGAAGGATCCCAGGGGATTGAGAGGGATCCCACAGGATCAGGAGGGATCCCACGGGATAGGGAGGGATCCCATGGGACCAGGAGGGTTCCCACAAGATCGGGAAGGATCCCACGGGATCGAGAGAGATCCCACAGGACTGGGAGGAATCCCAGGGGATCAGAAGGGATCCCAAGGGATCAGGAGGGATCCCATGGGATCGGGAGGGATCCCACGGGACCAGGAGGGATCCCACAAGATCGGGAAGGATCCCATGGGATCGAGAGAGATCCCACAGGATTGGGAGGAATCCCAAGGGATCAGGAGGGATCCCACAGGATCGGGAAGGATCCCATGGGATCGAGAGAGATCCCACAGGATTGGGAGGAATCCCAGGGGATCAGAAGGGATCCCAAGGGATCAGGAGGGATCCCAAGGGATCGAGAGAGAGCCCATGGGATCGGGAGGGATCCCATGGGATCGGGAGAGATCCCATGTGATCAGGAGGGATCCCATGTGATCAGGAGGGATCCCATGGGATCGGGAGGGATCCCACAGGATCGGGAGGGATCCCGGCACAGATGGGGGAGATTCTGGGGTGCTCAGCTCCGAATAAGGCCGGGACTGGGGATGGATCCCAGCAGGGAGGGGGATCCCAGAGGGAATTTTGGGGTTTCCAGCTACAAATGGAGCAGGGATCAGGGTCAGATCCAATTGGAGAGGAGCTGGATCCCAGCAGGGAGCAGATCCCAGCGGGAATTCTGGGGTTCCTGACTCAAGTGGGGCTGGGATCGGGGTCGGATCCAGCTGGAGAGTGGCAGGGAGCGGATCCCGGTGGGAATTCCAGGATTCCCACCCCTGGCCGGGCTGGGATCCAGCCTGGCTCCCATTCCCTGTGGGATCCGCTGCGGTTCCTCCCTCATCCCCACACTCCCGCTATGCCGGGGCTCATTAACGTAATTAATGGGGAGATAACGAGGGTGGGGCTGCTCCAAAGCTCAGCGGGGCCTGGAGAAGGGCCAGGAATGGGATCCGGAATGGGATCGGGGATGGGATCAGGGATGGGATCGAGGACGGGAATGGGATCGGGGATGGGATCGGGGATGGGAATGGGATCGGGAATGGGATCAGGGGTAGGAATGGGATCAGGAATGGGATCGAGGATGGGATCGAGGATGGGAATGGGATCGGGATGGGAATGGGATCGGGAATGGGAATGGGATCGGGAATGGGATCGAGGATGGGAATGGGATCGGGATGGGATCGGGGATGGGATCGGGGATGGGAATGGGATCGGGGATGGGAACGGGGATGGGAATGGGAT